GTGTGTTGGGGGTGACAGACGGGTTCCAGCTGAGAACGGGAGACAGGCAGCTGAAAAAAGGAAGCGGTGTGTTTTTTAGGGGGGGGGGGGGTTCATCCCATACACCATAATGATTACGTACAGCTGTTTAAAAAACTATTCGTGTCCAATAAACCTCCCAAACAAACCCGGAATAACCAAAAGACCTGAATGATTTGTTAATTATTCAAAAGTTCCGAACTTAATCGACTCATTGAGGTGAAATGTTAAATTTTGAGTTATTCAATCCTTTTTTTTTACACAAAAGACACTTTGCATTAAGACCATCTTTAGCTTTTATTCAGAAAATGCCGATTAAACCCGATAAAAGTTCTACTTCCACATCTTTATCCATTCAATATGTTTATAGATGTACATCCCATGTATGCATGATATCAGTTTTAGTAGAGGTTTGAATTCTAAGCTAAAATTAGATTTAAAAATAAGAGTTTCCAACCTGTGAACAGGTTTTTAATCTAGTTTTATCTTAGATTTACATGGGATGCACATCTACAACCTGTAAAGCTTCAAAGGGAGTGATTTGGTCCAACCCCCCCCCATAGAATGTCTTTAAAGCTGTTAAAAATAACACTTTTTCGAAAGTATATAATACTTAGACAGTCACCATGATAAATGCAATAATTTATTACATTTTTTTTTAACTCAACTGAAATGAACAATTGTGAGTATTTAGTGAGTCAGAGTCCTCTTTTTCATTTGTATTTCCTTTTTTTTGGGCCTTTTCTTTGCAATTAACCAAAATCTATGATAAATCCACGCAGTAAAGCACACATACATGTGCTTGTAAAGCTCTAAATGTTGAATCCAACACGGCTTTCAGGGGAATAAATTGAAGAGTTTTTTACTTGTGGTCAAATAACTTAATCTGAAAACACTCGATCTGAAGTTAAAGTCCAGCAGACTCTGGCTCAGGCAGGAGTTCTGGACTGAGGCGTGTCCAGGCATGTGGCTTTGATCGGAAACTCGGAGAAAACTCTTCTCTCGTGGGGTCAGACTCTCACCCCGGAATCACAAGAATGCCTCTGGAGCTTTCTTTCAATATCTTTTGTGCCCAGAGGGACAGTTTCCTGTCCTTTAAATCCTTCCCTCACACACGCGTGCGCGTATTTACTCAAACACTCACATTGTCATATAGGGAGCAGTAGATAGAACTCCCAATTTCCCCAGGCTTTGCAGTCTGTTTGAAGTCTTTATGCTGAATTCTTATCATTTGATACACACATTTCTGCAATTATTGGATCAGATGAAAAAAAAAGTCATATAAAAAATTGCCATTTTTTTGCATTTCAATTTATAGTCAAATTTTTAGAATTGTTTATTCAAAATATATGCAATAAATATATATAATGTAATATTTTTTCTTGTCTCAGAGGTTATAGGGTAAAAAGACTTCACTCTTTCCCCCTGAAGCGTTGTGGTAAAAACAATAAATAAAAAGAGGATAGATGGATTGAAGAAGAGGCTAAATTCCTTCGTTTCATACCTCCTCCATCTATGCCTGTCATTCCTTTGCCTTAAAACAACTTGTGGTTTATTGTTTTTTTTTCCGGGTCTTTGTGTGTTTGGATTTTCTCGTTTCTGTCGGTAACTCATCACCTGTCAGAGCTGCCAGTGTCAGAGTCAAAGCTTTAATGTAGCCATGGTTGTCAGTAGGTCATTTTATAAAATAATTCATGCCAAACTCAGAATATTTCACAGGTTCCTGAGCAGGTGTGGAGTGGAGTAAATCTTTTCAAAGCATGTTTAATCTTTGGTTTTGGTCAGAGAGGTGTGGAATGTTCTACAAATAATAAAAAAACACGTCACTTGATTTAAACCAAGCATTGTACAAATGTCATCTTCCTTTTAATTATTAATTTTAGATGGATGGATGCTTTTAAATGCATACTATAACAAATGCACTAAGTATATCTAAGATCCAGATGCATAAAACTAAGTTGTACTTGTCTTGTTTATTACTCATGTATCTGCATTTGATCATTTGAATATTGAAACCTTATTTTCAAAGTGGACTTAGTGAAAATGTAGAGTAAAAAAAAAACATTTAACTCTTTTTGCTTGTTTTTTAACTGCAGCTTGTCAGCCTGTGTTCGGTTTAGTTTAGTAACAGATGCTCGCTTTTACAAATTAAATGAATGTAAAATGATTATATATTCAGAATTTCAGAAAATGTTGGATAATGATAAATTATCAGTGAACATTCTGCAACTGTAGGCATAACAACTGTCATTTTCCACACTTTTTCCTGTGAAATTAAACCCAACATTTGAGCGGAGTCCATTCCGACTGCTAACAGCTTTATTACATGAGTCACTGGTTTATTTAGCCGTGTTCGGCCTCCCCTGGGGAGCAATTTAATGGCGACACACGCCAAAACCGTGCCTTTCCCTCCCGCCTCCTGGTTTGTCATCGCCCCCGGAACAGCCGTTCCCGTTCAATACAGGAAATGAACGAGAGATGACAAGCCAAAGAGAAAAGGAACATCTGGCGCTCATTAGGAATTAGCGGGTAACATAACATGTAGCAGGACGTGGTAGATCAGAGGTAATGTAGTTGGTTTTGACGTGATCTCTCCTCGGGGGGAGACGTTTTAAAGGGTCAGCCGTTCAGGTCACTGCAGTGGACATTTTATGAGAAACAAACAGCTGGCGGTTCCCTTCTCCCCTCTGCTTTCTGCTTTCAATTAACTTGTCTTGTGTCCTTTTGTGTTTATGGAACATCTCTTTATATAACTTGCAAAGTCATATAAAAAGTCTCATCAATTGGCTTTGATTCTCTGTTTGTGTTTTTCTAGATTTCTAGATTCTGACTCCCTCTCGTCCTGTTTCATTGATCCCTTTTGGTTTTATTTCTGTGAGCTAAATACAGACGGTCCTTCCTAATGATTTGGAGTGATTTGGTCCAATCCCCCCCCCCCCACTGAATGTCTTTAAAGCTGTTAAAAATAACACTTTTTCTAAAGTATATCATTCTTAGACAGAAGTCACCATGATAAATGCAATAATTTGCTATTACATTTTTTGTTATCTCAACTGAAATGAACAATTATGAGTATTTAGTGAGTCAGAATCCTTTTTTTTCATTTTTTTTTTGGCTTTTTCTTTGCAATTAACCAAAATCTATGATAAATCCACACCGTAATAGTGCTCTCCTCCCTGTCTCTCGGCAGCTTTTCCACGTGGCCTACGTCTTGATCAAATTCGCCAACTCTCCCCGTCCAGACCTGTGGGTTCTAGAGCGGTCCACTGACTCCGGCCGGACCTACCAGCCCTGGCAGTTCTTTGCCTGTGAGTAACGGCACCAGTCCACGTGTGGATCTGTAGCACCAATCCCAAATGTGGAACGTTAAGACCAACGCGAGTCCCATACCAGGAGCATCACCTCACGCTTCATTCTCCTCAAACCTCCCTGGGGGGTTTGGGTTTGATCTCTCTTATCAGTATGAAGCAGCATCCCTGAGGTCAGGCAGCTGGCAGGGGTGTGTGTGTGTGTGTGTGGGGGGGGGATATTACATCACTAAGCCCTCACATAACTGAGAGGGAAGCTGTCAGTTCAGGTAGACTGGAAGGGAATTCCAGGGCTGTTTGCAGACAGGCCACAGCTTGGAGTCTACATGATTACCACAGGCAGAAGCAGATGGGGGGGTGTGTGTTTATCACACACACACACACACACTGAGTGCTTCCCAACACATCACACTGTGCATGAAGAAGACCCAAAAGTTCAGCCCAAAAGCGACCCAAATCCAGCTCATCTGCTGGTGATATTAAACCCATATTAAACCCACTGGGCGAGCACACACAGGATCCATTTTGTTTTTTGGGACTACAGAGCCCCAGGTGCTTCGCAAACATCTTCAAAGCCGACTTTGATCGGCTCCCGTCTGATTCAGACCGCCACCGCTTGATAACAATAACAAAAAGCGGGAATTGGCATAAATGAAAAACCCCTCTGAGTCAGTTTTTCCATAACTCTCTCTCCTGTCACACTACAAATCCCAACATGCACTGCAACAGCTGCCATGATATCCATTAAAAGGAAACGTTATCAATAAAATTCAGCCAATGTTTGCTGATATTGGAGGTAAATTTGTACATTTTGAATAGCTTGGTCATACGACCTCATTTCACTTGGTGTGTATTTTTTTATTCTATTTTCGGGGAAAAAAGTTGCTTAAACGGCTGACGTTCTGATTATTTCTCCGGGATTAACACCCCAGAAAAGGCCAAATTGGGTCGGATTACCTGACCCAATCTGGCTTCTGTCGGTGCTTTACCAGGAGAAGTGCCAGTAAAATGACCTTTTGCTCGTCCACGTGTGTGTTTTTTGTGTGCGTGCAGCCTCTAAGAGAGACTGTATCGAGCGTTTTGGGCCGAGAACCATCGAGAGAATCAGCAGTGATGATGACGTCATCTGCACCACCGAGTACTCCCGCATAGTGCCGCTGGAAAATGGGGAGGTGAGTGAGTCTGTATCCAAAGTACTGTCTCTCATTTTCTAGACTTTTAAACAAAGTTATTAGACTGTGATTCAGCCGGGGACCTCCGTGCCTTTTGTGTATTTCAGACTTTTTAAGGGGAGTACTTTGGCCCCATTCCGTTGTTTTAATGTCTTGACAAATGTTCAAAGTGTTCAACAGCCACTGATTGTTTGAATTGACCTGGTTTACAGGCAACAGGTGGGTAACGTGGGACTTTGGGTTGTTCAGGGTTTCAGGATTTTCCATGTTCACCGTCTTCCCACTGGGATTAATTCCTCATGATATGAGCTGAGGAGCTTTGTGGCTTCTCCCTGAGGGGCTTGCAAACCTTCCACAGTAGACGTGTTAGCATGAGGCTTAGAGGTTTCTTGACATTCTCCTGGTCATTTAGTGGTTTCCAGATGCTTCCTTAACTAAATCAAGGCATCATCGCAGGAATGCTGCTGTTGCATCCAACCAGTTGTCATTTTACTGAACTATTTATTTAACCTTAATTAAAAGTCCTATTTGAAATGAAATAATTAAAAACTATGTATTAAATTTAGATTTAATAGATCGCGACACACAACCTTCTGCAGCTCGGACACAGAGTGGGTCCGAGGCAGATGGCCGCCCACCCTGAGCCATGGTTCTGCTCCAGGTTTCTACCTGTTAAAAGGAAGTTTTTCCTTGCCTGTGTCGCCTAGTGCTTGCTCATGGTGGGAATTGTTGGGTTTCTGTAATTATCTTCAGAGTAGGGTCTGACCTGCTCTGTTTGTAAAGCGCTGCGAGACAACTGTTGTTGTGATGTGGCGCTATAGAAATAAAATTGAATTGAATTGAATCGTCATGAAACCGCAGATTACAGTGGGACAAGTCATATTTCTCAGATTTCAAACACAAACAATGTGTCATTTAACACCAAATAAGTATAAGGAATCCTTTGTTTCTTTGTTATAGTCCTAGAATTAGAATATATTACTTTATCGTAGTCCTAGAGTCGGAATAATCTAATTCCTTGACTCTCGACCGAGGTTGTTTCCAGGTGTTTAGTGGGCAGATGTGACCTCATGTCGGTCCCAGACGTTTAAAGGAGGATTGTGTTGTTCCTCTGTGTCCGTCAGGTGGTGGTGTCCCTGGTTAACGGTCGACCGGGGGCCATGAACTTCTCCTACTCGCCGGTGCTGAGGGACTTCACCAAGGCCACCAACATCCGCCTCCGCTTCCTGAGGACCAACACGCTTTTGGGGCACCTGATGGGCAAGGCGCTCCGGGACCCCACAGTAACCCGTAGGGTGAGCCCCCCACCAGCCGGTCAACCACGCCTCTGTCAGACAAACCAATGACAGCAGTCGCAGCGTATTGAGATTCTCGTGGAATTTGGATCGATACCTGTAAATTACAAGCTAACGAAATAAGAAATGACACTTGAGAAAAACAATCGAAAGCTACATAAAAGCTTTATAAATACGATAAAATCTTAAACCCTTAATGGAGAATTCTAGCTGTTGTAGTATCACGTGAGAGGTGGCACTCTAGGCTCGATGCTTTTTTTTTGTTTTTTTTGTCAGGTGTTTTAAGTTTTTTTTATTTATTTTGAGAAAAAAGAGAGACCAGTGTTCTAGTTCTGTCCGTCGTATTATGTAGAGATACAAAAATCTGGGGCCAGACACATGTATGCTCATATTTGTGAGCGAATTTCAGCTCAATTTTGAGATAAATGAGTTTATTTTTCCCTCTAAGAGATAGAAAAAACTGCTCTTCTTAACATCTTACCCTATATTTCCACATTGGAACGACTTAAACTTTGCAGAAAGGGTTGGAGCTCCATCCCAGTTGCACTTATTTGCTAACTAAGGCTAGCGGCTTACTACAGGCGGGATGTATTCCTCACAGCCATGATAACAGGTCCTGTTCCCCTCCTTTGCAGTATTACTACAGCATCAAAGACATCAGTATCGGAGGACGCTGTGTGTGTAACGGGCACGCCGAGGCCTGCAACGCCCAGGACCCCAACGACCCCTACAAGTAAGCCACATGCTCATTTCCAACCAGGTTTTCAGATTTTAAGGGCATAATTTGGTCACAAACAGAGAATCGGGCCATGTTGGGTCATCGTAGACAGACATGGGAGGAAATCTTACCCATCAAAGCAGCTTCTGGAAACCGATTCTGGTCCTTAAGGGTTTATTTAGCGACATCTTCCAGAGGCAGATCGCACAACCCCGTTCTCCAACTCCAAACGACAACAGAGGTGTTGTTGTTTCGCCTCTGTGCCAGCGCCGTGTGGCTTTTTCTTTGTTTTTCTAATCGCACACCGACATTTCTGTGATGTAAATGAGAAGCAGGATCTGTTGGGACACGTGGGGCCACGGGCAAAGGACTGGAAAAAGGCTAGAGCTGACTTTTAAGCAACAGAGAGTGAAAGGTAGAAAGAAAAATCTGTTTCCTTGTGGCTTTTGTGCTGTTTCTTTTATTCCAAAATCTTGAAATCTATCAGAGATTTGATCCTATAGTAAGCCAGCACCATGCTAGTGTTCAGTTATTCTTTCAGAGGGAAGTTGTTTGTGTATTAGGGTTATTGTAGTCTGCATCCATACAGTCTTTTTTACCCTGAAGGCTAAATGGAGCTAGTACTTAAGGATCCACTGTGGATTTTGTGTGTGTGTGTGTGAGAATTTCCAGATAAGTACATGTTTCCGAGCGGTGGAAGTTGGAAAGTTTGCGACTGCTCTAATGGTACGTTTGGAGCCGTGTTGTGTGTTCAACTGGAGCTGATGACACTTGTTTCCTCCTCGCCGCGGGCCGTGGATTTACTCGTAAACTCTCATCGCTCCGTCCGATCCGGCGTGAGCATTTACGCTCGCGCCTCCCTCGTGTTTACTCACCTTGCACGTGCAAACCTCGCGCACACTAAGAAACACAAAAATGGGTAGGAGAGGATGAGATAGGGGCAAAAAACAAGCATGAAGGGGACTCCTTTCTCACTTCCTGCAGTAGATTTGATCAACAGCTGCTAAACATCTGCAGACATTCTTGTTTGAGGTGTGAGACGGTCCTCCACCTGGTTCCATTTGATGAGTTTTCTGAATATTAATTGGCTTTGGATGGCATTTTGAGAATGCGTGGGCTGTCTGTTACTTCATACAGCCTGTCTAGATAAGCTCCAGCACAAAGAACTCAGAAGAATGGAGCTTGGAGCTTATAGTTGATTTGAGTTTGCATTTTTTATTTAAACAGAAATATTTCTGAAGTGCGGGTTATCATTGGAACTGATGACCAAATCGGGATGATCTTTTTGTCTTTCCAATATTTGAATAGCATCATAATATGAGGCTGTTTCCTGGTCATATACTGGAATTCTTTATTTTTATTTTTTATTTTTTTTACCCAATGTCGTGTTTAGCATAATGGCAACAGAATTGTAATCTGAGTGCCCGACCCTTTTGCTTTGCTAAGGGAGAAGCCTCCCCTGATCATCCAATACTGCTTTATTATTTATTTGAAATTTAATTTTGTTACAGATGTAAAATGGTTAAAGTCAAACCTGACCAGGGGACAGGAAAAAAGAAAAAAAGAGAGAAACAAAAGGAGCAAAAGATTGAATTAAAATAGGATGAGAGAATAGAGAAAAGATAACAATAACCCGTAATGAAGAGAAAAGAAAGATCCCTAAAACAGGAAGAGAGGAAAAAAAAGAAAGTGTGGGTTTGTCTATTGTTCTTTTCTTTTTTTATTTTGTTGTTTCTTGTGTTTAATGTGGACAATTTACCAAAATAAAGTGATGAAATAATAATAAAAAAAATAATAAAAAAAAGAAAGACAAGAAAACTGGAATACTGGAATTCTAAAAGAAAAAGAAATAACTAAATATAGGGTTTTGATTAGTTAGAAAAAAAACTTTATGTGTGATCAATGAAAATGCAGCGTAATCGTTATCAGGCTAATTCTTTAAATACAGTTTTTCCCTGAAGTATCTCTCTGATTATGACTCAAGCTTAACACCCTCAGATGGAGGCATCAGCCATTGTCGTTGGGCATAAATAAGAATACAAATAGGGAGTGTGTTGTGGCGTCTGAAAGCCAATCAGAATCAGAATCAGAATCAGAATCAGAATTAGGTTTATTGCCAAGTAGGTTTTCACACACAAGGAATTTGCTTTGGCGTTGGTGCCCAGCATTGCACCAAAACACCGAGGCGGCCATTTTCGGCGCCAAGGCAAATCTTCAGAACCAAAAGAATACATTGGGAAAGCAGTTGCGGGAAGAGGGGAAAAAAAAAAGGCCCAGTGCCACGCCCCCTACAGGGGACGTAACAGTGATTTAAAAAAAACACCTCAGTACACTAAAGCACAGATACAGTCAAAATCACAACATCAGGGACACATAGGGAGGGAGGGATGGGGGGATTGGAAGGAAGGGGAAAGGTAACAGTGAGGCAGTGAGCCCAAGGAATGCATGAAGTCTGTGTTTGTGTGTGTGTAAGTGTAAGCAAGCTGAAGTCCACATCCAGGTCTAGATGGAAACTGATGGTTCTGAATCCTGATTCACCTGCCGGCCCCGGACAGGCCTCTGGCCGGACTGTCCTCCTCTGGGCCTGCCGGACGTCCACAGGTGAAGCATTCCTCCACATTCCTCTGCTCCGACCCGGATCAGAGCCCCGTCGGTGGAAGAACAAGTGTCAGGCCAGTCTGCTCTCATCTCGTTTGAGGGCGTTACGTAAACACGAAAAAAAACCCCAGTCGCACCGGAGTCCTCGGCCCGGCTCTGTTTATGAGACAGGAATTCCACCCAGATGACATCTTCCCACTCCATTGTGGCAGAAATATTATTTGAAAGCTTCTTTAAACAGTCTGCACGGCTTTTCGTGAGGGGTTTGAATCAGTTTATCCAAAGTTTATATGGAGCTTTGGTCCAAAAACCCAAAATACAGACTACATTTGAATATATTATTTTATTTCTTTTCTTTTCTCTTGACATAAAAGTACATTTTTAGTCCGGGGCCTTTAAGCCGGGGGGACTCGACTAGCAGCATCCTGCCTCCACTTACTACTGTAGTATTGATGGATTTTTGTATTTTGCGTTATCATGTCAAAGCTAATAGAAATATATTTTAGAAAAAAACGCTTAACTTGTGAATTAGCAAAGATTCAAATCTGGTTTCAACTTTTTTTTGCAGTCTAAAAGCATTCTTTACCCCTTTTGCATTTGGTCATCAGCACACTGGAATCCAACAATTTCTCACAGACAGATGTTCCTCCTCTTTGAATGGAGATGGATAGTTACAGACGTAAAGAAGCTTTATTCCATCTCTTTTTTTGACACTTCTTAACCCGATCCAAGGAAAAATAGAGCGAAAATTATGATTTTTTTTATATTTGAAGTGTTTTTTTAAGCAAAAAATAAACAGAAATGATCTTTGAATATTCATCTTCATTGATTTACTACCATGTCATAAGTTAAAATGATTGCCTTGTAGTCTTTTGCCTGCTGTTGTCGTGTGTATCGTGTGTTTTGAGCAGACTTTTTACCATTAAATGATGCAAAAGGTCTCCGATTCTAAACATTTCAGAAACCGTACGTGTCAAATATGACACATCTGGCATTGTGGGGTTGATGGTGGAACTGTACGACTCTTCCTTAGTTTCCCTTTACTGTTTTGGTCACACTCTCCAGGCCGCAGGTTCGCAGACTAATCCAATTAGAAGTCAGGGAGCAGCAGTCGGCCTCCGTTGATGGAGCAGAAAGATTAATAGTCTCATTGTTAAAGACGGGTTTGACGTTTCATCCAGGGTTGGCTCTCCTTTGTTTCTGGGGGCCATTTTAAAGAAGATGTTCCACCTTAAACTCCATATTCCCGGTGGCCATGTTTTGGCCTTCTATGTCGGACCCAAATGTGAAAGTAAAAGTTGTTTTTTGTGCTTTTAGTCCATTTTTCTCTGTGTCCTAACCCAGGCTGCAGTGCGACTGTCAACACAACACCTGCGGCCTGTCCTGCGACCAGTGTTGTCCCGGTTACAACCAGTTGCCCTGGAAACCGGCCACAACCTACAGCGCCAACGAGTGTGAACGTGAGCCTGACGCACACACGCGCACGCACACACACACACACACACACACACACACACAGGCAGAATGTAATCAGTGAACCCTGCAGAAGAATGCGTTTCATGTGTTGGCTCAACAGAGCAGCACAGAGGCGGCCAGCTCTCTCCGCTAATGAAGCTGAACAGACACACTGGCAGCGCCCCCTCACACGCGCACCGTCGAGGAGAAACTTATTTTTAACTTGTGGCTCAGCGGTGCCCATTCTGCCGACCGCTCAGTACAGGCGATTTTTTGTCATTTCCCTTAAACGATTAGAAAAATGAGTCTCTTAAGTGGAAGTGTAGAAGGATAATTGGCCTGTAAAGGCCTGTAAGGGTGTGTTAGTGTGTGTGTTTGTGTTCCCTGTGGGTCACTGTGTGGCCCATGTCACAGACTAGCAAACTGTTCAGGGTGTACCCCCACTGGGAAAAAGGCCCCTCCAAAAACGAGTAAAAAAAACAACAAATCCAATACGTTTTTGCCTGAAGTAAGCAAAAAAAAAACATTTTACCAGTGGAACTAGTGAAAATTTCAAGTTTTCTTTAAATAAGATGTGATATTTAGGACTTTTGGGATGAAAGTCATTGTGAAATTTAGCTCATTTTGAGCTATATTTTACTAGTATTAAAGTGTTGTGTGTCACAATAAGCCTGTGATGCTCAAAAGTAGCTTTTTGTTTTTTCACCATTCATAAATTCCCACTATTTCAATTGTTTTTAAGTAATTTTAAGTTCTAAAATAGTAACATTGTCCTAGATTTTACACCATCAGCAACTTCAACTAATATTAGAAAGTCATTATTTAAGCATTTTTAGGATAACATGTCTGGAAGTTAGCTGGAAATACTCTTATTATGCATTTTTTTACACATATTAAGAGGTTCTTCTGTATCATAAGACACTATTTATCTCAATTAAAGTGCATTTAGCTAATTTTAAATTCTGAAATAGTGACTTTGTGCTAGATTTCAGACCACCACCAACTTGAAATTAGAATTGAAAGTCATTATTTAAGCGTTATTAGGACAAAATGCCTTGAAATTAGCTGGAAATGCTCAAATCTGATTTTTCCTCATATTACGAAGTACCATTATATTCTATCCCATTTTAAAGGAATAATTCAAAATTCTGGGGATCCCTGATCTTGTTATAACTACAAGTCAAACTACTGTCTCCAGAAAGTCACTATCTGTTGAGTTTTTGGATAAATCCACTGAAACTTAAGGTTTTCCAAGAAAGGAGACATATTTTTTAAATCACCTAAGTCCAAATAAGATGATTTCTCTTCTGCAAATAACACAACAGCTTAAAAAATCTCACCAAAAGTAAAAAAAAAAACATGTTTCTTTGACTGAAAACAAGATGTTTTCAAGGCTTTTTCACTTAAGAAGATATTCATTATGTATTTTTCTTACAAGTCCCTGAATCTTGCATAAGTTGTACTTTTTAGGCAATTGTGGCTTATAAAAAGTGTGTAATGAAATATTCTGACTAAGAATGAGACAAATAATCTGTACCGATGACCGCTCTATGAGCTTTCGAGGCTTGAGGTGTAGGAAACGGATGGATGGATGAAAACCACCAACTTCGATTGGCCTTAACGGTTTTTCCACCATTTTCCTGTTGGACTCTCCGTCTGAACCCGGTCTGATTCTATTTACATGTCTGCTATCAAAGCTGTAGTTATATTTAACAAAGACAGACAGGAGGGGTTGCTTCAGGTCAGGTGATAGGAGGACAGTCACAGGGTGGTGGCCTTTAGATTGGACCCATGGGATAAGAGCAAGGGCTACTCCGGATAAGACAGAAATCCCGGATAAAGACTCAGGCAGTTCAGGCATTATCTAAAAAAAAAGTAGAAACACGACCCAATATGTTAGTATGATGAAAGATGCTGGTTCTGTGGTTTGCCTCTAACTGGATCCTCCTAATAACGCAAAGGTTTTGGAAGAGTGTGGCTGAAATCAGTCGGCACGTCTCTGGGAGCCAGATAAGAGCTAAATGTTAGCGTCAGGTCTCTTTTGTAAAGGATTACGTCTTTTACAGTATGTTTAAGTGTTAAGCGATCGCGGGCATTTCATGGTGGATGAGCCAAAAGAGTGGCTTTGTGCTCCTGAGAGATTTGGGAAGAATCCGGCCAAGATATTTACAGTATTTCTGTTTTTTTAACTGTATTTTTTTCTTTTGCATTCTTAAAAGAAAAGTAAGAATGTTTCCAAAAATACAAAATTATTGCTTTAATTGTGGCCTGCCAGACTTGAAAAAAAATAAAATAAATAAATATATATATATATATATATATATATATATATATATAGAGAGAGAGAGAGAGAGAGAGAGAGAGAGAGAGAGAGAAATATAAATTTAATAGATAGTTTTGAATTGTTTAATTTCAAATAAGGACTTTTAATTAAGGTTAAATAAATAGTTAGTTCAGTAAAATTACAACTGGTTGGATGCAACAGCAGCATTCCTGTATAACAGCAGATTAAAGCCGTTTTGTGTGTATATAGCCGTGTGTGTGTGTGTGTGTGTTTGAGACACACTGATATTTAAGGCAGAACAGATTGCTCCATCCTCTAATTAGACCTGAAACAATCCTTTTATGAGCTTTATGATCACTGAAGATGAAACGTCCTGTGTCGCCGTGTAATTACAGCTTTACTCAGCTTTTATATTTGTGGTTTGTCGGGAGTCTAATGTCTGCCATCTTCTTCTCACGAAGCCCAGAAACAGGTTTCACCACAGCAAAAGTGAATTAGGGACTTTACACACCCGATGAGACGGAATTTTGAGGTGTTTTTTAAACTCGTCACTTTCTTTTGCTTCTGCAATAATCTTTAAAGTTGTGTTTGTTATTTCTGGATTTCCTTTTAAAGTTCAAAGAGCGTGATCTGATTTGATGCTTATTGTATTTTGACCAGAGGCAGTTGTCATTCTGAGTTTTGAACATTTGCACATGATTCTTCGCTTAAATAAAGATCTTTAATTTCAATTAGTGTCTATTTCTCATTAAATCATAACAATTAACTGAATGGTTTGGCTTCACTTTGCACTGATTAGTATCTGTTTTACAGAACTCTGGACCTTTTAATCAGCTCTTTTAATCATAATCAGCAATAAAAAATGTTTTAAAAACCTTTTTTGGTCACTTTTTTAGTAACCCATAAAAACCTACAGTGACACAGGTGTAACAGCCTATTTAAATGAAAATACATTTAATAGAAATATATATAAATATAATTTCTGGAAATCACTGATCTTTGACATTTTGTGGTCGTACCTGAATTTTTTTTATTTTTTTTATTTTATTGATAAATGGGATTCATTTGTTTTTTATTCACCCTATAATTTCTCTTATGGGTTAATTCAACAAAGCTTTTTATTTGAACATATAATGCTAAAAAAAATAATAACAATCTGTTTTTATTTCTCCAGCGTGTAACTGCCACCGGCACTCTTTCGAGTGCTACTACGACCCGGAGGTGGACCGGAGGCGGGGCAGCCTGGACGTCCAGGGCCGCAGCAGGGGGGGGGGCGTCTGCCTCCACTGCCAGGTACCCGGGGCCCGCCGGCCTCCTGAGCTGGGATCGGTTGATTTAGACATGTGAGCGACAACTTTTTCTCCTCCCCTCAGCACCACACCACCGGGGTCAACTGCGAGCGCTGCATCCCCACCTACTACCGGTCACCTGACCACCCCCTGGACTCCCAGCTGGCCTGCTCACGTGAGTCCACAGATGTACAGTGACCAAGTAGAACTACTTAAGGACTGTACTTAACTCCTTTTCTTAGGGTCTTTGGGGATGTTCTTTGCTTATTTTTGCTTAATTTAGGGTTTTTTTATTTTTTACTTTGTATTTGTATTCTTATTTTTTTGGCTATTCACATTTACAATGTAAGTACTGGTACTTAATCTGTATTTTTTGTTTTTTTTTTTTGCATTTTGCTCTCTATGTGACACTTTTTTGCCCTGTAAGCTGCTGGTAACTTTAATTTCCTGAGGGAGTTTTCCCAAAGGATCAATAAAGTACAAGTCTAAGTCTAAGTCTAAGTCCTAAGTACCAAAATGCAGTATCTATACTTTATTGGAGTGTATTTTTTTCCCTACTTTTACTTTTACTCCACTAAATATTTTTGATGAATTTAATACTTTTACTTTCACGGGCTGAATCGTTACTGGTCCCCAGTCATAGTTTCAGAGCCATAGCTGTAGATAGCTCTGTCAGGGTTTGGGAAGCTGGCTCCTCATTGGCCGATTTGAGCCATCAAGCATAGCATATTATAAACAATATCTATCAAACTTTTGACTGACTTCTTTTAATATACACAGTACTTGTACTTTTACTTATACTTGTACTTTCAATACTTGAACAGCAGTTTTTTTTAAATACTTCTACTTGCAATACTTAAGTACAAAACAAAATGGAGTACTTCAACTTCCGTACTTCAACTTAAGTATGATGTTGAAAGAACACTTCAACTTTTACTCAAGTCATTTTTTTCATATAGTACTCATACTTCTACTCCAGTACTTTATACATCTCTGCGTGAGTCCCTGTTGCTAGATGCAGAATGGCCTTTTTTAGGAGACAAACCTTTGCCCTGTTCCCTGGGTGCTCACGTCCCTTTAACCCGTACGTCCCCCCCCCCTTTCCCCGTCCATTTACTTTAGCCTGCAACTGCCAGTCGGAGTTCACCAACGGGAGCTGTGAGGATCTGACCGGCCGCTGCTTCTGCAAGCCCAACTACAGCGGGGAGGACTGCCACTCCTGCGCCAGCGGCTTCATCCACTTCCCCGCCTGTTACCGTGAGTTACCAAAATAAAAGACCGAAGGAAATGTCCAAAACGCCGCCCTCATTTTGTCATATTTTGGAACTGGTGACATGTCATTTCAGTCCAAATAGATCATTATTTAAATCCAATTCATCCCCGAATCTAAAGGAAACATTGAATTGGATAAAAAACTACTTTTCTTTAATATTTTGTGATCTTTTTGTTTCTCCATCAGCCATTCCCACCTATCCAACCAACAACAACAATGGGGAGGCCAAGCCAGCCGGAGAGATCATCAGTAAGTTATGAACAGTGACATTAAAACATGGCAACTATGGTGAAAATCGACAAATTCCAACTTTTTTTTTTTAAACTCCCACTTCCAAAACAGGGATGCTATCAGCAGAATTGGTGATATGCTAGCACCAAGAGAATTTCTCTCTAAAAATAATTGCATTTTTAAATTGTTAGAAGGTTAGTTCCATGATTCCAAAGAACAAAATAAATGCTAATTCAAACAAAATGGGACATGCCAATAAAATAGCTATTGCTATTCTTAGTGTTTGAATCCAAGCTGATGTCTTTTGTTTTGAAATTAACTAACAAGATTGACATAAATATCCCAAAATGCCTAAATGAATATGCAGACGGGACATTAAATGAAGGAGAACACATGTCTGCTTCATGTTGCCAGGTTTGGCGACCTGAAGCCTCTTTTTGTTGAGCTTGTTTGGCTTTTCTTGTGTCCATTCCGGCCCACGTTTGCAGGAGCAAAGCCCTGACCTTGTGCGCTCATTCTTCCCATGCGTCCCTCAGGTGTTTGGGGGAGTCGTGGGAACGTTGTTATGTGAGCAGACCTCGCCGATAAGTGGCGGCGCCTTAAAAAAACCACCTGTTTGTTTAGTCATTTGTTTGTGATACAATTCAGCAAGCAGCACCATTACATATATGTATATGTATATATAATCCCTTTTTTTTAAAACTGCAATTTAAACCCCTTTAGATCATTTTTTTCTTCAGTTCCAACTTCAATTTCATTCTTTTCTTTTAGAAATTGAACTAATAGATAGATAGATTCTACTTTATTCATCCCCAAAGGGAAATTTAGAAGGGTTTCCCTTTCAAAATAAAAGACCAGTGGACAGGTTAACACTGTGGCCTCACTGCGACGGGTTCCCAGCTCCAATCCCAGATGGAACGGGGACCGCCACCTAAAAACCCTCAGGATTGGTGACCTGAACACTGGATGGAGGGAGTGGGCGTGTCCCCGTGGAGGACTGGGGACTGGGGAGAAGCGTATAGAATCAGAATCAGAATCAGAATCAGAAATACTTTAATAATCCCAGAGGGAAATTATTTTTGTTACAGGCTCCATAAGCAAAATAAAACAAAGGCATATACATATGTACATGTCTATACATATATACATATATATATACAAAATTCCTCATAAATATAGCTAGATATATACATAAGAAACAATATGTGTATATGTAGGTCAAAATGAGAGGTGGATAGTGTCAATGATTAAGATTGACTCTCAGAGGGAAGCGTTGTACAGATTGATGACCACCGGCAAGAAGGATTTCCGGTGGCGCTCTGTGGTGCAAAAAAAAGCGAACATAAAAGTTGGAGCGACGTAACCGGCAGCCTGCAGCTTTCGCGCACGCGCACTGGATCGTTTACGGTTTACGGTCCAGTGGATAATCCTGAATCCTGAATCCTGAACCCCCGATGTGCTTCCAGACTGCGAGTGCAGCGCTCCGGGCACCGTGGACAACTCCTGCCGGCCGGACCCCCAGACCCGGACCTGCGTGTGCAAACCGGGCTTCGCCGGGGACCACTGCGACGCCTGCGCCCCGGGGTTCCACGGACCCAACTGTCAGGGTGAGAGACCCAGTCAGTTTTTAAAAACCTGACAATTTTCAGGATAACTTGAGTGGATACTGAAACAAAATTGAGAAAGTTGAAACATAAGATAAAAAAGTGCAGGTGTCAAGGCATCAGATTTTATCCTATAGGCCTAATTTCAGATATTGTGTACAAAACAAAAAAAAGACAAAAAAAAATATAGTGCAATGTGTGCATTTGTCTTTAAAGTTAGAAGGATTTATACATGACAAGACATGAAAAAAAACATAAGATTAAAAAAATTGAAAATAATAATATTCTGTGAATGTAATAAAGACACATTTTAGTCGCACAATTTAAGATCTGATCTTGATTTTTTTTAAGGTGCTCTTGATTATTTTCTAGTTGATAATTACAGCTAACTATTCCTAACAATTCCTTGCCATTTTTTCAGATTTTCTGTAAAAAAACGACCAAAGAAGACCAAAAAAATCTAGTGCAATGTGTGCATTTGTCTGGACTATAAAGTTAGAAGGATTTATACATGACAAGACATGAAAAAAAACACAAAATTAAAAAATAGAATAATAATAATAATATTATGTCTATGTAATAAAGACACATTTTAGTCGCACAATTTAAGATCTGATCTAGTTTTTTTTAAGGTGCTCTTGATTATTTTCTAGTTGATAATTACAGCTAAATAAATTCCTTGCCATTTTTTCAGATTTTGTGTAACAAAAACACCAAAAAAGACCGAAAAAATCTAGTGCAATGTGTGCATTTGTCTGGACTTTAAAGTTAGAAGGATTTACACATGATAAGACAAGAAAAACAACATAAGATTAAAAAAGAAATAATAATAATAATATTCTGTCTATGTAATAAAGACACATTTTATTCACACAATTTAAGATCTGAGTCTTGATATTTTTTAAGGTGCTTTTGATTATTTTCTAGTTGATAATTATAGCTAACTAAATTCCTTGCCATTTTTTCAGATTCTGTGTAAAAAAAAAAAACCCAAAAAGACCAAAAAAATCTAGTGCAATGTGTGCATTTGTCTGAACTTTAAAGTTAGAAGGATTTATACACGACAAAAAAACATAAAATTAAAAAAATATATTAAAATTATAATATTCTATCCATGTAATAAAGATATATTAGTCTCACAATTTAATATCTGAATATTGATATTTTTTTTGGACCTGATTATTTTGTAGTTGATAATTACAGCTAACTAAATTCCTTGCAATTATTTTTCCTTTTAGTTAAATACAATTTTTAATGGGTTTCAGCTCTAATACACACAGTTGAAAGAAAGTACAGATTGTAGCTTTATGTTCAGAGATTCTGCTCATTTGTATCTCTTCCAGATACACTCAGATAAAAGCACAAATGCACAAAAACAGCCAGGAAGTCCACATGCACTAATTCTGAGTTTTCTTGTGCATATGGGCAAACAAACCGACTAACAGCCTTTGTTGGCTGAAACGTCCCGTAAAATCCTTCCTGGCTTCTGCGTTCTTTGCGTTGCGCCCACTTTTTCTGACCACGCTGAGGAGTGTCGGGTCTGTTCCGGTGCCGTAGTGTTTGCCTGTAACTCCTCTTTGTGTGTGTGTGTGTGTGTGTGTGTCCACCCAGCCTGCCAGTGTTCGGGCGCGGGCTGCCAGGAGGGGTCATGTGACCCGGCGGGCGGTCAGGGCAGCTGCCGGACGGGTTTCCAGGGCTACCACTGTGACTCCTGCGCGCCGGGATACTTCAACTACCCGCTCTGCCAGCGTGAGTGACTTCGCTGCCCTCACTTAAGATGGCGCCTCGTGACAACCGACGGTTGAGAAAATCTGGATTTTATTTCAGCGGGGACTCATCGTTCCCTTCTTTTAACCTCCTGAGAACCCGCGTTCCATATGAGGACACTGCATTTCTGCCTCTCTTTACTACGATCCTTCCTTTTTCTTTGACCTTTGACCTCTTGGCCTCATAGCAGATGCTATCAGACACTACTGTTTGAGATCTAAAGGATAATAGTTGTTGGCATTTTACACCAATCATGTTCTTATTGTGGAATTAAAATGTTGTAAATAAGTCATCTGGACCCTCAGAACCAAATTGCAAAAACATTTTATTGAATATCTAAACAAACAATTAAATACAAACACAAACAACACTAAGCCAATACGAAGAAAAACTACCCGTACCATGACAGAGTCTAGTTATTAAACTTATTAGGTCCTACAGATCCAGAGATCTTGATCAGTAGGAACAAAAAAAGCAACAAAAAAAAGCAAAAATGTCCACCAGATAAAAGCTGGGCTCTCAGGGGTTAAAGGTAAAATTTTCTGATGTTGAATTAAATGCTTGTGACACTTGATTTAAAAAATTAGACAAGAAAATACTTTTTTCTTTCCTTTTTCGCCCCTTAATCTACACTTTTCGCAAAGAGATCCTTTTAGGATTTTATTCTCCGTCCCCTCTGCCTTAGAGGGAGTATTTGCTTTTTAGCTCCATGATACTTAATAACCCTTTGACCATGTTAGTATTTAATTAGAGATTATCCATCAAATGCCCTGAGAGCTTAGACCTTATCTAAGAACCACAAAAGCAATGCTGCATTCACACAAAGAACGGCAGACATTTTGAAACTGTAGCTTCTTTTACAGGACATTTTGTGTACTAGACAATTCAAAGTGCTTTATGAATAATTTGAATAAACAACATAAATTAGATGGATAAAAAGTGAAGGGTGCAGATAAAAGACATTCAATTTCCATCTGCTCAGTTAAACAGATGTTTTCATCTGGATTTGAACATCGTCAGAGTGGGGTTCTGTCTCACGTCTTCAGGAAGACTGATCCAGGTTTTAGGAGCGTGGAACTGAAATGAAGCTTCTCCTTGTTTGGTTCTGACCCTGAGCCCCATCAGGAGACCAGAACCTGGTTCTCAGAGTCCAGCTGGTTCATATGAAGAGACTTGTACACAAGCAGAACTGGACTCATTTCCTGGTTCTCCATTAAAGTAGTCTAACCCGCTGGAGACCAATGCATGGATTGGTCTTTCTAGGTCCAGTTTAGACACCAGTGCCTACTCAGCTGGTTCCAGCTCTTTTCCACCAGAGACTGGAGCCATTAAACAGTTCCAGCCTTTGCAGATAGCGACAGATGTCCATTTTCATGCAGAAATCATGAAAATTGACATCTGTCGCTATCTGCAAAGGTTGGATCATAAATGTTGCTAAATAATTTATGGTTTGTTGCCTTTCTGCTCAGCCCTAGTATTGAAAGGAAAACACAGTCAGCTTTGTAGAGGGGCAACGCGTTAGCATGCTAATCTGAAGCTCCAAGGTTTTGGTTTTGTTCTGATAGTGTTTTCGTTCATCCAAAAATGAGGATTTCCGACACAGAAAAAGGAGATTTTTCTTTAACTTTAAACGCTTTAAGAAAAGACTTTGTAATACAAACAAATGCTTATTTCAGGTGTAGAAAGTTATTCTGTTTGTGTCCGATTAAAAAAGACAAACCGGCCAAACACTTTAAGAAAACACTTTATCCTTGTATTTAGGTCTGTTTTTTTCTTATTACTATACATTAGAAAAAAGAATAACTTTCATAAAGAGACTCACATGGAAGCACTCAGCTTTATAGCCACTTTTATGAAGTGTTACTCTGTCTTTTTGCCTTTTTTTGGCTATATACGTGCAAAAATAAAAAAGGTGTATTAAAAGGAAAGAACAGTTTTATAACTTGACAGGTTCAGTTCAGGGGTTACATATTGGAATAATATGAATACTGGTATACTGTCACATCTGGAAATATCAAAGGGTTTGTACTACATTTGTGTGGATAAAAGCATAAATAACCATAAATAGCTTATTTTGTTTCATTGGGAAGAAACAAATCCCTTTCAAACCCAAATATTCACATGTATCTCCTGTTATCTGGGATTATTAAAGTATTTCTTTTTTTTCTGTGTTACTGCAAAGAGCCACATCATACACATGGGTACACATGAACATCATCTTTTAATCATGTATGCACGCATACAGACCTCTGTCAGCCAGATCTAATTAAAATAACCTCACCAACATATCAGTCATTTTCAACAGTTAACATTGTGTGCACTTTCTCGCACAAACACAAACTCTCAGTTCAAGCAAGTCCACAAACAATAATAGAATCATTTTCAAACAATTTTAGTTTGCTGTCTCCAGGAGCTAAGATTTCAAAGGCGTCAATGAGGCATTTTTTTTTCGGCTTGCCATTACATTTAACAAAAAAATATAAACTCTCCCACTCTGGCAAAAACGTCCTGTGTTCTTCTTCATATTTTAGTCTGGCTGTGCTTTTTTTCCCCCGCCATTTCAAGAGGCAACTTGACGGAAATTGTTTACAACACAAATGATGTCACACCGAAGATTCTCTCGTCGCTCATTTTAGCGTTAGGGGGGGTGAATTACAGCGCCAGTCAAGCATTTCTGACGCATGTCATGTGACAGCTCCTGAAGAGCCGCATAAAACTAGTTTCTTCTCCTCCCAGAGTGTTCCTGTGACCCTCGCACGTCCAGAGACTCCGGCTGCTCTGAGTCTGGCCTTTGCCACTGCCGGCCCAACTACAGCGGGCCGTCCTGTGACCAGTGCGCCCCCGGTTACTACGGCTACCCCAGCTGCACCCGTAAGTCCCTCAGCATCTGAATCCCAGAGTCCAGCAGAATGCAGATGTTCACTAACTGACCCCCCGCCTGTCCACTTCCCAGCCTGCCAGTGCTCGGCCGAAGGCTCCGGCCACAGCAGCTGCCACCAGGCCAGCGGTCAGTGCGCCTGCCTGCCCGGCGTGGGGGGGCCGCGCTGCGACAGCTGCGCGCCGGGCTTTTACGGCTTCCCCAGCTGCAAAGGTAACGAAAGCAAACGCCTCCACAGATGTGCCCGGTCAACCACCCGGACCTAGAGAAGGCGGAGAGTGGGGATGATATGTGGTTTTATAAGTGTGGATGCTGAAACTTTAGATTCAATGAAAAATCTGCTCTAGAAAAGTATTTTAAATAAAAAACTATGATTAATTCTTCACAAAAAAACTAAATTCCAGGATCTGTTTCGGTCAAATGAGAGCACATCAAATTAGAGAGCTGTTTGTGGGAATATTTTTGTATCAATGTACAACAAAATAAATTATTAGGATTAGACTAGTGCCTTTTTGAGTTTTTTTTTTTGTATGTTTAACATAAACATAGCAAACAAAAAAGATGAATAAGAGAAATATACTAAATCTGGTTTGTTAAAAAAATTCTGTTTTGTTAAATTTCCTCACGGAGCTCCTTTTATTCTGTAAGAATAATGTCCGACAACATTCCTATGGGAAACTACGGAATTCTGTCCATGTTCTTCCTAACTGGAACACTGTTGAGCCTAAAGTCTTCCACTCATTTTCCTCCGTTGCAATTGAACTCCATTTCTTGCATTTCCAGGTCAATTTAATCACTCAGACCACCTCAAGATGAGTAAATAATGTAGCCAGAGGAGGCTAAAGAAGTTAGCAATGCCCTGGACAAAAACATGAGTCTGTAGAAGACATTTCTGATTAAAAAATATAATTATTGTCATTATTTAAATGTTATTTTTCTTTTAGTTTTGCCGGCATTAACAGTGCTTAATTATCTGAATAACCATCAAACAATGTGAGTGACCTAAGTGCTTTTGTCAGCACTATTATGAACTTTTTTGACTCAAAACTCAACTCGATTCTCATCTAATCCTTAGAGACAGTCACCAGCACTTGTCACTGTCTCCATTAAGATTAGAAGTGACCAAAAGGTTAACATTTTATCCAGTATACAGTTAGTTTACACTTGAGTGAGTCTCTCCTGTATGCAGGACCGTCCTGAAGGGCCACTAAAAGTTAGAAATGTATATCCTTGTTTTAGAAAGTAAATACTTTTGGTTTTTGGGCCTAGATAAACTTAAATAGAACAACTTTGTATTATAAATGGCAGAAGAAAAACATAAACTGCCCCAAATTGTTGGATACTGACGGCTTAGTCTATCAAATGCTAAAATGGCTGGCTATGTGTTGAAAATGCCCATCAACCAAATAGTTAATCAAGAAAACGCAAATAGTTAAACAAAAAAACAGTATTAAATATAACTAAAAAAATGTAAAAAAAGATAAAGATATTACTTTTTTTTTTTTGGTTGTACTGGATTGTCGGGATGGTGAAGAAAATGTTGATGGGTGTAATATAGATAAGCTTTATATGATATTTAAGGACTCCTTAGTAATTTATGTCTAAATAAATTAGAAAGTAAGTTAAACTGGACTAAATTTAGATATTTGTCTTGCTTCTATCCTACAAGTTGTGCATGTAGCACGGTCACCTTTTATGTCAAACCTTATGAGATTTATCTGCGGTGCCATATTTTAAAAGTTTGTTGAAACAATATGTGTAATATATGACTCGTTAAAACTTTGCTTCTTTCTGTTTTTTTTGTTTGTCTTTTTTTTTGTCATTCTGAAGCTGGCTCTTGTCACCCGGCCGGTTCCGTTGACCATGCGGTTCTGCCACCGGGGGTAAGTCCAGTTTGACTTTTGCTTTTCTCATTTCACAGCAGAAGGAAAATGCTTTTTTGAGCAAGAATGCTACAGGAAAGGAGCAACATGAAAAAAAAAAGTTTCTGTATAACTCACATTCACTTTTAATAGCTTTTGCACAAACAAAAAAGTTGGAAGGAATCTTTTTTCTTTCCCAGACATCATACATCTTTAATAAAATCACATAAGATATGTGATATAAAATCACATATCTTTACTATGAGAATATTGAATAAATTAAGTAGATTTAAGTAGATTTTCATTTCACTGCGGGAAGAAAATGCTTTTTTGAGCAAGAATGCGACAGGAGACGAGCAACGTGAAAAAAAAAAGTTTCTGTATAGCTCACATTCACTTTAAATAGCTTTTGTACAAACAAAAAAGTTGGAAGGAATCTTTTTTCTTTCCCAGGCATCTTACATCTTTAACAAAATCACATATCTTTACTATGAGAATATTGAATAAATTAAGTAGAACTGTAAATCTTGTAGATGTTCGGAACAGAAATGTATTTATTGTTTTTTCCCCTGACCGTTGGTGACCCAGGGCCAGTGTGAGTGTCGTCAGCACGTGGAGGGTCCAGCCTGTGACCGGTGTAAACCCCTGTACTGGAACCTGTCCCCAGACACCTCAGCTGGATGCTCCAGTAAGACCCCCCCCGTTTCCCCCCCGGGCTACGGGCCGTGGGCAGCACTGACCCGTTCGTTCTGGCTCTTTTCTCCCGCAGGCTGTGAATGCAACACGGCGGGGACGCTGAGTGGGGTGGCTGAGTGTGCACAGGTAAGCTTTACCATGCTCCTCACTCCATGTTTAGGTCCAGGAGCTTATAAAAGATCATTATTAGGATTTCCCCCTGTCTATTGATGTCGCATAAACTCGTAAAATTTCATTTTTTATCATCCTCTATGGTCGAGTTGAATAAAATGACTGTTAGTCCTTGAAAGTTTTGGATAAAATTCTGGGAGTAAAGTCTAAGATATAGTGTATGGTGTTGGTGGTTAGCACTGTCGCCTCACAGCAAGAAGGTTCTGGGTTGGAGTCCCGGGGGAACCAGGACCTTTTTGTAGCCAGAGGGTTCTGGGTTGGAGTCCCGGGGGAACCAGGACCAGAGGGTTCTGGGTTTGAGTCCCGGGGGAACCAGGACCTTTCTGCCAGAGGGTTCTGGGTTGGAGTCCCGGGGGAACCAGGACCTTTCTGGGTGGAGTCTGCATGTTCTCCTGTGTCTGTGGGTTCTCTCCGGGTTCTCCGGCTTCCTCCCACCGTCCAAAAACCTGCATGTTAGGTTGTTGGACTCCAAACTTCCCTTAGGAGTGAATGTGAGTGTGTGTGGTTGTTGGTCCTTGTATGTCTTGTGTGTTGCCCTGTGATGGACTGGCGGACTGTCCTCTCGCCCGTTGACCACTGGGACAGGCTCCAGTTCTCCCCGCGACCCAGTTAAGGAATAAGTGGTAACGATAATGGATGGATAGAAGTCCAAGATCGCTCGTTGAGAAGGCCATAAAAGTCTATTACAGTATGCTCCATATAACCTTTTCTAAAGAGATCTGTGCACATCCTGACTTCCATATTTACAGAGATGTGGTTGTTGTCTCTGTTGTGTGTTAGGAGACGGGTCAGTGCCCCTGTAAGCCCGGCGTGTGCAGCGGGACCTGCTCCACCTGCAGGGACGGCTACCACAACCTGCAGGACCACAGCTACTTCGGCTGCTCCGGTCAGCGTCCCTCAGCTCTGACCCGTGCAGCTCTGCCCGCTTCAGGAACTCTTATCTGACCCTTTTTGGAACTGTCCGGACAGGTTGCCAGTGCGACATCGGGGGGGCGGTGGGTCAGGTGTGCGGGAACCGGAACGGTCAGTGCCAATGCCGACCCAACGTAGAGGGGCCCAAGTGCAACTTGTGAGTTCGATTTTAATCGGTTTCAAGTGGTTTTTGGAGAGATGTTCGACTCTTTGGGTCAAATTGTTCACATAATATTATATATAATATATATATATATATATATATATATATATATATGTATAAATATTTAAATATATATGTGCTAAGTGAGAAAACAGAGCCATAAAGGTGTCTTTTTTTCACTTTTATGTCAGAGGATTGAGTGTATCATACCATCCTTAAATGTTTGCTTCTTTTTTTCCCGCTTTTTTCTTTTTTTTCCCCGCAAACGTCCCTGTATTCACAGTCCTCGTCCGGATCATTACTTCCCAGACCTCCACCACCTGAAGTTTGAGATAGAGGAGGGAACCATGCTGGACGGCCGACCGGCGCGGTTCGGCTACAACCAGCTGGAGTTCCCAAACTTTAGCTGGAGGGGTTATGCTCAGATGTCCCCCATTCAGGTAGGAATCAATGCAAAGTATGTGTATATATGGACATATGTCTGTATATATACATATATATGGCTACATATAAGTATTTATGGCACAATTTGTGAGGATAATTGCAGTTTTGATATTGCACCTAACAGTTTATGTGACTGTGGCCCACTCTTTTTTTTATTCTTCTGCATGAACCCACAAAGTAACCGTCTCCTCTCTCTTCAGTAGACCTGCTTCTCAGCACAAATAGTCCATCTTTACACACTCTTGAAAGCGTTCCAATTGTTTGAAGTAAAGAGTAAATGAAATGATTTGCACTAAAAAGGGTAAATCCTCAGAAAAAGGAGCACAAATGCATCCTGAATATCTTTGCTGTTTGTCTTCCGATGTGAAAAAAAAAAAAGACGGAGCCTTTCTCGTCGTGTCTCTATACTCACTCCCACCTCTTTAAATTTCTGCACGTCGTCCATCTTTAAATTACTCATTTATTTTGCTTTTGTCCAATTTTGCATGACTTTCTCTTTTTTTGACTAGTGCTTTATAAACTGAATCGTTATTTTCTTTCCCTCTTTTTCCATTCATTGATTATTTCTTTTCTATTGTTTTATGTCTTTTTCCCCACTGTGCCCCAATTCTCCTCATGCTCTCCCCTCTTTACCTGTCCCCCTGCCCCCCCTCCCTCCTTGCCGGCAGTCCAAAGTGCTGGTGGCGGTTTGGGTCACCTCTCCGGACCTGTTCCGCGTGGTGCTGCGCTATGCCAGCCGGGGGGGCGCGCATGTTCAGGGCAGGGTGTCGGTCATAGAGGAGGCCCGGGACCACCGCTGTGGTAACTGTAAGTGCTGGGACGGTAGCGCTGTTTCCCCTTTCTGGGCCTTTTCGCTAACCTTCTGTCACGTTTTGCTTCTCTGGATAGGGAAGCAGGAGAGGAGGGAGGTCTATCCTGATTCAATTCAATTCAATTCAATTTTATTTCTATAGCGCCACATCACAACAACAGTCATCTCACAGCACTTTCCAAACAGAGCAGGTCAGACCCTACTCTGAAGTTAATTACAGAAACCCAACAATTCCCACCATGAGCAAGCACTAGGCGACACAGGCAAGGAAAAACTTCCTTTTAACAGGTAGAAACCTCGAGTAGAACTATTGCTCAGGGTGGGCGGCCATCTGCCTCGGCCGGTTTGGGGTGAGGGAAAGAGAGGGCAAGAGAGAGAGGGCGAGAGAAGTGCTTTCCTGAGTAGACCTGAGTAGAGATCACTCGGTCATCTGTATGGGAAAGTCGAATTAATATTTTGTGGTATTGCAGGTTCTCTACACTCTAAAACGCAACAGGAAAAATGAGAGTTTGAATCTATTCATATTCAAGTAGCTTTACTAGATATCAATAAGCAAAATTAGTTAAAACAGCACAAATAAAATACTGAAAATGCCAGTAAATATTTAATATATAATAATATAAAGACCTCAAAGGCATCTTACTGTGTAATAATGTCGTGTTATCCTCATATAGTAGTAGTGTACAGTGGTTTATTTATTTATTTGCAGACAATTGTCATTTACAGAATGGGATCCATAGATTCATTTAAAAAAAACAATGCAGTAAAGTAAAGGAAAGTTCATACAAACAGCTATTAACATAAAATAGTCATAAATAGAGAAGATAAGAGTCCTTTAGCCATTGTCTTTGCATAATAATGAAAGCTTAGTGACATCATTACAGTAGCTTTCATAAAAATGAAAATATTGGATATAACTTGCGGACATTTTTTTTTTTGTAGTGGTCTTGAAGCGACAAGATCTGGTTTGAAACAAATCTGAGGATTTTCCTGGAAATATAAAGCTTTTCCACTTAAGGCTCAGCCTCCAAAGTGCATGAATAATAAAAAGTAAAAAAGGAAAAGCCAAGGCTTTCGCTTTTGCTTGCTTTTTTTCTTTAAGAAAATTAATTTTCCTAGTTTTTACGAATATTTTCCCAAACTAGATTTGTTTTTGTGTCTTCACTACATTCCTGCTGAATCCCTCATGAATGAGTTGTATCATTCTGTGATGGGCACGTTGTAAAATCCATTCAAAAACTATTTCTTTTCCACAGCCATGTCGGCATTGATGACCTATTTTCTGTTTTCTAAATGCGGCAAAACTCCCCCGTTGCATTAAAAACCTGCTTTTTTTAAAAAGCAGATATTTTAAAAGAGCTCTTTGTTTGATGCACACCTTATTGTTCTCTGTTTATCAGATAGCAGTTTCCCATTTTATTTTAGCACCACTTTTAGAGGAAGACATTTTATATCCTATATGAGTTAATACAAACATGGATCTCCTTAGTTTGTTTTTATCTGATTGGAACTTTTTTTTTTAAAAACGACCAACTCAAGTAAGACGCATCTTTGTTCCTGTGTGGCAAAACTGCATCCTCTTTCCCTTTTCTTCACCCCCCTCATCCTTTCCTGTGGGAAACTCTCATTCGCTCATCCCACTTTGCTTTCTTCTTCTGGGCCACACGTCACAGCAGAGTTTAGGGATTTAACCACGCTCGTTTTGCCTTTTTGTGCCTTTTTTTTTTGTCTCTTTTCCTCTGCTTGCTCACACCTTCTCCCCCTTGGTCCCCCCTGTAGACGGCAGTGAAGCTTCAGGTTTATGTGAGTGAGGCAGACGTCTATCTGACTCGTTTCATCCTCAGATATGTCAATTCTGAGGGAGTCACCTCCAACGGTAAAATAACAGCCTATCAGACCAGCCGCACAGGTAGGCCTCCACCAATCGGCGTGCATGTTTTTTGACTGCGTTCCGACAGGGCAGACGTGCTGTAGATGAGGGGGGTGATTGTTTTCTGTGTTTGGCGGAAGCCGATCTGACCCGGGTTTAGCCCTTTCTCCACCCTAACCGCGCCGGTCAGCAGTGGTGGGAAGTAACGAAGTACAAGTACTTCGTTACTGTACTTAAGTACAATTTCCGTGTATCTGTACTTTACTTAAGTAGATTTAATAATGGATACTTTTTACTTTTACTCCACTACATTTAACAGTAAGTACCTGTACTTTCTACTTCACTACATTTCTACACAGCGTTTCGTTACTCGTTACATCCAAGACGCATTTCGTTTTTTTTTTTTGTTCGTTAGTTTGAAAGTATCCAATGGCGAGAGCAGAATCAGTCCGCTCAACCAATCCAAAGCGGGAAATAACCATTAGGCCCTCCCTCAAGAAGAGCAGCATAAAATATCTAAATCTAAACTGTCACAGGGGGTAAACACAATAAAAAACATGCTTTATCTGCAGCATTGCTCATTAAAATGGTACATTACTGATTTATTCAAACTAAATACGATAGGTACACTTAATGACATTATATAAGCCGTTAGGTATTATGGTTGGCAAGTACTTTTACTTTTAATACTTAAGTAGTTTTAAAAGCTTGTACTTTCTTACTTTTACTTAAGTAAAATAATAATGTGGTACTTTGACTTTTACTTGAGTAAATTTTTGTCTGTGTATGTGTACTTTTACTTAAGTACATTGTATGAGTACTTTCTCCACCGGTCAGTCGACGGCCGTTAGCTCTGACCTGAACCTCAGTTTTTTTTTTGCTTCCGAAGGCTCGGAGCAGTCCAAGCAGATCGTCTTCGCCCCCAGCGCCCAGCCCACCTTCGTCAACGTCCCGCAGAACAGCTTCGTGGAGCCCTTCGTCCTGAACCCGGGGGCCTGGACGGTGGTCATAGAGGCAGAGGGGATCCTGCTGGTGAGACGCCAACACGCCACCCGAGAGCCGGGAGACAGTTTAAAAACGTAAGGTTAAGCGTCTCACCCTTTGCTGTGCTTTCAGGACTACCTGGTCCTGCTTCCCAGCGCCTACTACGAAGCCCCCATCCTCCAGATCAGAGTCACCGAACCCTGCCACTACAGCCCGGAGGTCAACCAGAAGTGAGCACGCTCTTATTTGGGTTTTAAATTCAAGAAATGATTCAGATTCTATTAAATGACCCCCTCGAAAAGAAATTCACTTGATTTAAACATGTATTAGACAACAATAAAGCCATCATGAGATATATAACAGCCACTCGGACACTTAAAAGATAAAGAAAAAGGTTAAAAAAAGAGGTAAACCATAAGTAAGCACGCTCATATTTGTGTTTTAAATTCAAGAAACGATCGATATTTTATTAAATAACCCCCTCGAAAAGCATTTCACTTGATTTAAACGTGAAATAAACGACAATAAAGCCATCGTGAGATGTAAAACAACCACTATGACACTCAAAGATTACAAAAAAAGGTAAAAAAAGAGGTCAAACAGAAGTGAGCATGCTCGTATTTGTGTTTTAAATAAAAAAAAACTATTAAAATTCTATTAAATGACCCCCTCGAAAAGCATTTCACTTGATTTGAACGTGAAATAAACGACCATAAAGCCGTCATGAGATGGAAAACAGCCACTATGACACTCAAATTATTTTAAAAAAGGTAAAAAAATAGGTCAACCATAAGTGAGCATGCTCATATTTGTGTTTTAAATTCAAGAAACCATTCAGATTCTATTAAATGACCCCCATGAAAAGCATTTCACTTTATTTAAACGTGAAATAAACGACAATAAAGCCATCATGAGATGGAAAACGGCCACTATGACACTGAAAGGATCCAAAAAAAGGTAAAAAAAAGAGGTCAACCAGAAGTGAGCACGCTTATATTTGAGTTTTAAATTCAAGAAACGATTGAGATTCTATTAAATGACCCCCTCGAAAAGCATTTCACGTGATTTAAACATGATTTAAACGTGAATTAAACGACAATAAAGCCATCATGAGATGGAAAACAGCCACTCGGACACTCAAAAGAAAGAAAAAAAGGTCAAAAAAGCGGTCAACCAGAAGTGAGCACGCTCGTATTTGTGTTTTAAATAAAAAAAAACGTTTAAGATTCTATCAAATGACCCCCTTGAAAAGCATTTCACTTGATTTAAACGTGAAATAAACGACCATAGAGCCGTCGTGAGATGGAAAACAGCCACTATGACACTCAAAGGATTAAAAAAAGGTAAAAAATTAGGTCAACCAGAAGTGAGCACACTCATATTTGTGTTTTAAATCAGAATAATGATTCAGATTCTATTAAATGACCCCCTTGAAACGCATTTAATTTGATTTAAACGTGAAATAAACGACAATAAAGCCATCATGAGATGTATAACAGCCACTATGACACTCAAAGGATTAAAAAAAAAAAAAGCATGGCCACAAAGATACTGAAAAGTACCACCAAGGAAGACGAAAAGTCAAAAATAGCCGCGTACACAGACGTTTTTACGATCTATCCATCCATTTCTTTTTTAAACCAAACGTCATGGTGGCCGGAGCCATCTGTCAGTGAGCAGGAGGTTAACCTGGGACAAGTTTTCAGTCTCTTTTTATCATGTTACTGCCTTTGGAACCACATTGGAGCATCTATTTTGGTTACCCATGCTCTAAGTTGAGTCACCATGATAGACGATAAACTGAAAAACTCATTGGAAAATTCTTTTGGCCTCAAATAGACGATATGAACGGACAGAAGGGGTTTCTGTTTTGAGTTTTTTCCTGTTTGTATTTGTGTTTTCTGAGCCCTCCGCCTGTGTTTGTGCAGCTGTCTCCTGTACACGTATCTGTCTCTGGACTCCTTCCCCACCATCTCTGGTCATGATGCCAGCTGTCGGCATGACAACCACCTCCCGCGCCAATGCCAGATCGAGAAGGTGACCCCGCGTCATCCCGAAATGGCGGTCTGCAGCGGACATGACGTAAGAGGAGTTTTTTATGTGGATTTGATCAGATTTAGAGACTAGTAAAGAATCTAAATCTGTAGCATGAGTAAAAGGTGAATCGGTGTGTTTTTTAATCTCCTGTGCAGATCATTGTTGCTCTAAGAGGGAGACTTTCAGCTCCGGGCAGCTATGTTGCGGTGATTGAGTATTCCAGCGAGGAGGAACTGCCTCAGGTTTTGTCCGTTGCCGTGAACGTGCCGGGAGCTCGTGCACACCAGCACCGGGTCACCCTCCTGCACTGCAAATACAGGTGAGGGGGGGGTTTAGAGCCTGCTGCCCACTTTACAGGACAGGGTAAGGCCACTGAGGAGAAAAATAAATAAATAAAAGAATAAGAAAAAAAGTCTGAATTCTGACTTTATTTTCAGAATTCTGACTTTTCAGAAAATGAAAAAAATCCCCCAGATTTTTTTTTTGATGAGGAAAAATGTCAAAATTCTGAGATTAGCGTCAGAATTTTGTCTTTAATCTCAGAATTTGGATTTTTTTTTTCTTTAATTTTTTTTTTTTAACCAATTAAGTTAATCAAGATACTGTTGGTATTTTCTTCTTTATTAGATTAAATATTCAAAAAGTTTTATTTATCAAATAGATTAAGGCACCAGACTTGAACAAGGACAAAAGGTCTTCCAAAAATGAGAAAAACTTCAATTTAATAATATCAAAATGGTGTAAAAAGGGTCAAACGTTAATACAAAAATTAAAAAAATAACTTAACTTCAATTTGGGCCCAACTTGACTGAGGTCAACTGAACAGTAACAAAACTGACCTCCAGACAAAGAACCAAGGCTGCTTGAACAGGGATGGACTAACCTAAACTTCCCACACGACAACTGAAAATATTAGAAATTCTGATTAAATAAAATTTAATATACAGTGTAATCCATTTTTGCTTGTAAATCTTTTTTCCTCAGATGACCAATTTGAATTTTTTTTCCCTCAAAATAGGCATCAGTTTCTTTCCACAGTGGAAATGTCAAATAAACAGAATGCTAATTAGTACAGTAAAGAGAAGCGAACAAGCCTCAGACCTCAGGATGCTGCCTTGGTTTAAAATCCGGTTCTTTACGACTAACTTTTGGTGCCAGTGACCCGGTGTGCGAGCTTCCCTGAACCCTCTTTACCTGTGCATGTTTTGGGCAGCTTCCTGTGTCGGGCGGTGGCCATCGATGACCAGAACAGGGTGGCTGTCTTCTCCCTGCCCGCTGACCCGGAGATCCAGCTGTCCTCTGACCGCTCCAGCTTCTTCCTGGTAGGAACTTCTCCCCCGTCGCACGAGGAAGCAGCTGGTTTATTTAGTCTGTGGAGATCCCAGAATACATTTCTAAAAACTGGGTCCATATTTTGATTGTCAGCCTGACATTATATTTTCAATTAAACAGTTTTATTCATGCACTAAACTCATATGAAAGCTCATTTACTACTGGAGGTGCAAAATACCAAAATGTTAGCGAACACTTCCAGCCTTTACCTGATCAGATTCTTTATTATTTTTTCTTCTGTAGACCAATTTCCCCGTCTTATCAGGGTTCTTTTGGGTCAGCAGCATATAGAGGTGCACATTTAGGATGTTTTTTATGTGCACAGCACTGCATTGAGCTAACATTGATAAAGAAACCTTCCTCATGGTCTAAAGTATTTGAACCGTCTTGTGTGTGAATTAACAAATAAGATTGGTTTTAAATGTTAAAAAGTGTCTGAATCTTCCAAAAATCACATGTTGAACAGTATCGGCAGCATTACCACATCATGTAAACTAGTCATAATTACTTGTGTGGGTTGTCTGAATGTTTTTTTCTTTCTTTTTTTGCTTGTTTAAATTGACTGTGTTATAACTCACCTATAAACAGAGCAGGCTGTCCGAAGAAATAAGTGTTGGCAGGTCAATTTTCAGTGTTTCTGTTGAAAATAATCTGTATAATCTGTTCTTATTTGATACCAAAACCACATGGAAGTATGCACTGTAGTGACACAAGGCTGCAAAGTGAGTCAACAGGTGCTCTGCACACATAATTTAAGCAAAATATGCTCTGTTCTGTTTATTGCTGGAATCATTAAAAAAAGAGACAGATTTAGTTCATGGGAGTTTTGCAAAAAGTTCAGAACATTTGTTGACTTTTGCATCAGAGCCTAAGAGAAAAAATACATTCAGATGACTAGAATGACTATAACGGCATTTAGAAAAAAGAATTCCATGCATAAACTGACTTTTTAATACTGAATGATCATAAATATCTGAAAAAAGTCAGACTGTAGTGGACTATATTTATATTGTCATTCATTTCTTTATTAGATTTTTCTTCTGCCCAACTGCTTCATAACAATAACGACATTTTAGGATATGATGAGGACCTTTGACTATAATTTTTTGAAATATTTATAATGGTTTCTTCATTTTTCCTAGCACAAAGTGTACCTAGTGCCTCAAGAGCAGTTTACCATGGAGTATGTGGAGCCTGAAGTCCACTGCATCAACTCCCATGGACAGTTCTCCCCCGATAGGTAACGCAACGCATTGAGGCTGTGCAATAGTTCAGAAGTAACTGAAATTATTCTCCCAATAATAAATAAACCCCCCCCGTAACCATCTTTGTTTCTCTCCTGTTCCAGTTCCTCCTGCGTCCC